ACACATATGCCCTGTAATCTTACACACATAAACATGTGCAAAATAATTAAGAATAACAGGTAAAGAATATTGTCACTCCTTAGTTCTTGCTTTTATATATATTTTTTACTTAAATCACATTTTTTCATTTATTATACATATCAACCATTTTCTTCTCCATGTTCTTCTCCCATCCCCTCTCTTTTCCTATCTAACCCCCTCCCTATCCACCTCTCCTCCATCTCCATTCAGAAAGGGACAGGCCTCCCATGAGTTTGCACAAAGCATAGCTCATTATATTGAGGCAGTAAGTACTGAGCTCCTCCCAGGTAATCCAGCACGGAGAACAGGTTACCAAAAGCCAGCTAATCCCCAGAGAGAGCTCACTGTTAAAAACTTTACTAAGAGATCAAGCTACATGACTATCACACACATGCAGAGAGCCTAGGTCAGTCACATTCAGGCTTCCTTACTGTTGGTCCAGCATCCATGAGCTCCCATAAGCTTGGGTCAGCTGTCTCTGTGGGTTCCCCCATCATGAACCCCCCTGGCTGGTAAAATCCTTCCTCCCTTTCATCAGCAAGCTTATGGCAGTGCTTGCGAATCTCTGCCTCTGTTTCCATCAGTTACTGGATGGAGGATCTCCGATGGGAATTAGGGAAGTCACCAATCTGCTTATAGTAGAGGGCGAGTTCGGGTAGCTTCTCCACCATTGCTGGGGGTTTCCCTGGCACCAGATTTCTCCCTAGCCCCGAAATCCATCCCCCATCAAGACCTCTCTTTTGTTACTCTCCCCCTCTACCCTTCCTTCATCTGGCACCCTGCACTGAGTCCACCCAACCTGTGTCATCTAGTTTTCATCCATCCATCCCCCCAACACTGCCCCCAGTTTATCCAGGAAGTCTTTTCTATTTCCTCTAATCCAAGGAATTCCATGCATCCCTCTTTGGGCCCTCCTTGTTATCTAACTCTCTGAGGCTGTGAATTGCAGGATGGTTAATCTATACTTTACTCCTAATATCCCACTTATGAGTGAGTACATACCTTATTTGTCTTTCTGGGTCTGTGTTGCCTCACTCAGAATGATTTCTTTTTGTAGTTCCATCCATTTGCCTGCAAATTTCATGAGATCATCATGGGTTTTTTTGTTTTGTTTTGTTTTGTTTTACAGCTGAGTGGCACTCCATTATGTAAATATACTACATTTTCTTTATCCATTCTTCATTTGAGGAGCAACTAGATTGTTTCCAGGTTCTGGCTATTACAAATAATGCTGCTATGAACATAGTTGAGCAAGTGCACTTGAGGTGTGGTTGCTCATCCTTTGGGTATATGCCTAAAATTGGTATGGGTGGGTCTTGAGGTAGATTGATTCCCAATTTCCTAAGAAACCATCATACCGATTTCCAATTGTACGAGTTTGCACTCCCGCCAGCAGTAGAGGAGTGTTCCCTGACTCCACATCCTCTCCAACATAAGCTGTTATCAGCGTTTTCTGTTCTTAACCATTCTAACGGGTGTGAGATGGTATCTCAGAGTCATTTTGGTTTGCCTTTCCCTAATGGCTAAGGATGTTGAGCAATTCTTTAAGTGTCTTTGGCCATTTGAGATGATTCTATTGAGAATTTTCTCTTTAGATCTGTACCCCAATTTTTAATCTGATTATTTTGTACTTTGGTGGTTAGCTTCTTGAGTTCTTTACATATTTTTGAGATCAGCCCTCTGTCAGATGTGGGGTTGGTGAGGATCTTTTCCTAATCTCTAGGCTGCCATTTTGTCTTACTGACAGTGTCCTTTGCCTTAAAGAATCTTTTCAGTTTCAGGAGGTCCCGTTTACTAATTGTCAGTTTCAGTGTCTGTGCTACTGGTATTATGTTCAGGAAATGGTATCCTGTGCCAGTGCACTGAAGGCTACTTCTCACATTCTTAATGAAGATACATGACAATATAATAAAGGTATTTATGTTCTTTGGGAGTGTGGGCACTGGCAGGATTTTCATGCTTCATCGGATGCCCTCACATCCATGCACATATGGGCAGCACCAAATGGCTTAGTAGATATGATTTTTAAGAATGAGATACGAAGTTAAGAGGTGGATGTGTGGGTGAGGAAATCTGGGAGGAGTTGGAGAGGGCAAATGGGCTTGGTTGTGATCATAGTTCATATTCTCACAACACTTTAAAAATATTTACTATTATTTAAGTGTGTGTTGATGGTTCTCATCTGCAAATAAATATACTGGCATTTATAGTATAGAATACGACAAAATCGTCTTCTATAACATTAGAACATGGAAAAAGATCCTGCGATGGTAAATATTGGCTGTCAACCTGACAAGTGTAGTGTCACCTAAGACACGAGCTTCTGGAAATGTCTGGGAGGTTGGGTGAAGTGGGAAGCTACATCCTGTATGTGTGTTTATGGGGTGGGGGTGCCAGTCCTAGGGCTGGACAGAGTCCTAGGCTGAATAATAAAAAGGAAGAAAAAGAAAGACGACACCAGCACTCAGCTTCTCTGCTTCCCGACTGTAGGCAAAATCTAAAGGGCTGCTTCAAGCTCCGGCTGCCATGCCTCCCTCGCTACATGAGACAAAACAAACCCTCCCTTGAGTTACCCTGCCCAAGTATTTTGTTATAGGAATTAGGAAAATAACTACTAGAGGTCACAGCATGATTCATCCGGAAGCCGGGAAGCATGTCTCAACGTCCGTTCCTCTCATCCCCTGTTACGTAACTCCAAAGTTTTGTCTCAGCGCATAGTCACCTACCTAGAGGTGACAGTTTCCCTCCAGGAGTGAACACATGATTCTGTTTCAGCCAACACATATGCAAAGCATCTACATCCACAACCCCGAGTCACACCATTTAGAAACAAGAATGTTTCCCCTCCAAGAAACAGGTTACAACTCCCACAAAGGGTGCTTGTGAGCAAGCTTCATGCTGGAATGGTAGAGCAATGGCATAGGAGGAGCCAGGTCCCTGGTTAACTTCACCCCAGGTTGTTAAATAAAAAAGAAATAAATAAGCTCCACACACACACACACACACACACACACACACAGTACCCACACAGACACATGCACACACACAAATGGATTGGTGTATTTATTTGTTAGGCAACTTCAAAGGGCATTATAAAACTTTCCATCTCTGGAAAGAAGAAGCTGGGTTTAGCATGTGTGTAAGGATGACCAGAGAAACACTTGTAAAACTTCAAGGACTGGATACTCAATGTGGGGATAGCATGCATCAGGAAGAAAAAAAAATATATTGTTAACCCCCAGGTGTTATACATTACAAATTACATGTTGGGCTAGAAATAAGTTCCATTTAGAGTTTAGTTTGACAACAGGAACTAACTACGTTTAAGTAAGTAAATTTACTGATGGTGTCTTTGATAGCCACTTATCTGTTATGAATTCTTAGTGCATCATAGTAAACTGGAAAAATAAATACAAGTTTAAAAGTTGTCCCTCGGTACCCATGAGGGACTTATGTTAAGGCCCTTGTTAAATACTGAAATCCAGGGGTGTTCAAGTCCCTTCTACAAAATGTGCAGAACTTACCTATGTCCCATACAAACGCTTATAAAGTCATCTCTAGGTTACTCACAATATCTAATATAATGCAAACAATATGCAAGCACTTGTTTATCCCGTGTTATTTGGGAAATGATGATAAGAAAAATCGATACAGTACAGACAGAGCTATTGAAGGTTAACCCACAGGGCTCATATCCATAATAACCTAAGACTTTTTGCTTAACTCTTTTAAATCTATAGTTGGTCAAATCTCTCCAATGCAGAATCTGCAAATTCAATTACCTCGTTGTACTGGTTATTTTAACAAAAACTCTAGAAATCTGGGAACACAATAGAAGTTTTTTTCTCTTCCTCATACAAAATAAGCACATGGGACAGGTTTCTTAAAATTATTTTCCTCTAACCTGTGAGCCTACTACCTAAGCTTTTCCTAATATTTTTACCACCAAGTTAAAAATTCTTTGTTTCACCTATATGGATGGGGATGTGTGAAAAAAAGAGCCTCAAGAGCTAAACTTTTCATTCACTTTTACTTGACTGGAAATAATCAGATGCAGGCAGGAGTCAATACAGAGATTCAGAGCTGGTCAAAATGCTGGGGAAAAGAGCCCTAAAAGGGATATCTTTGTTGACAACAACACCCCCGATAAAGGCTTGGGGGATGTCATAGAAGAAGAGGCAAAAGAAACAGACAGACAGACCAAAAAAAAAAAAAAAAACAAGAAACATGTAAGAACATAAAAATAGGGAGGGATGTTTTGATTTGAGAAAGATTGTCTTTTGGATGAGACATGGCCGTTCCTCTCATGGACAAATGGCGACAGTGGTTACCTGCATAAGACCTGCACAAGATCAAGCAGACTAATTTTTGTTTTCTTTTGTTTTGTTTTTGTATAGAGGGGCTCACTCGTTGATAAGGCATTTCTGGTAGTTGATAGTTTCTGGAGGAGGGAGAATCATTACGTTCTGAGAGTGTTCTCAGTGGTTGGTTTCCCGTGCTCCAATGGACAGCCACACGTATGGGTAGCACTAATTGGACTGAATGGGTTATCAAAAATAAGAAGACGAGAAGGAGGCATGAAGTTGGAAGAGAAACATGGGAGAGCGTTATGATAGAGTTGGGATATGGAGTGAATACGGTCATATTTCATTGTATCTTTGCACAGAATCCTCAAGAATAAGGAAAATTTTCAATAAAATGAAATTAATACATGAAGGACTGGAAAATGTGGGTGGCTCATGAAGTATTTGCTCACAGTCTCATCTACAAAATCATTTTAATGACTCTGCTAGGCAATGTCTAAACATTTGTTTTAATTTGACATCAATTAAACTCCTGGTCTTAGCATGGCCTACAACGTATTCCAGAGTTGGAAGCAGTTTAATCCCAATTTTATGAGAACTGAGAGATTGAGATTAATTTCTCATTGAGTTTGTAATCCTTAAGAAATAATAAGAGTCTATTGTCTTACAGGTCCAACAAAGAATTTAGTTTTCTTTTTTAAGATAAACTCACAAGCATGGGTGCAGGATTGACGACCTTCAAGGAGAAGACGGGCCGGGAGACAGGAGTCAGGAGACAAGCCCTCAGTCAGGCTGTCTCTCACTGGAGTTTCATTCCCCTCTCTGGGATTAAACAAGAAAGCAAGACACTAACTCCAAGAGAGTGAGTAACCAAGATAAAGTGTCTGCCGTAACCAATATTCAATGGCTCTCTAATTTAAAATTTATATCGTTAATGTCAGTCATTGATATCCCTAGAAATCAAGGCATCTAAACAGCTTCCTACACCTTGTCCACTCTAACGTCTAGATGGCCTACCTTACTTTATACTAAATATATTGAAATATATTGAAATGCAGCCATATTTTGTATGAAATATAAGTTATTTGTAAGTATATAGCTGTTTTCACATATCAGTACTATTTTTAATTTAAAACATATTTTACCCCCAAACTCTGATATACTTGCCCCCCAATAAAGTATCCTTTATACTGTCACAAAGGGGATTTCAGTATGGCATATGCGTCATACTCTGAAGTGGAAATATATCACATTCTCTGACAACGGTGCCCACGCAAGCCACAGTGCTCTTTGGCCCTCCATCTCCTGAAGCACTGTGGGCCTCAGTTTGAGAGCTCTTGGGTGCTCTCCTAAAATGTGGTTGTGGGAGCAAAGTAGTCGTATTTAAAAGACGACAAAGATTTTTAAAAGCGTTTAACTTACATAGGAACAATTATTTACAGTAGTTGAGCTATTATAAAATGCTAAGTAGAAACTAAAACCAAATAAGCATTATTAGAATAAATGGCCTTTTAGGAGTAGAGATTCACTAGATTTAGCCCCTCTTACAAAGGGTTAGCCAGCTTATTCAGTCTAGACTCCATGTGGGCCATCCAAAGAAAACTGTCCTGAAATGTGCACCTGCCACACTACTCACAAGGGCATCCTGCTAGAGATAGCACCAAGGCATTTGTGAAAGGAACAGTGCTTCCTCTAAGGATGGCTCCCTAAGTGTCTCCTGATGCTAAGCAGAGAGCAAAGACGTCTAAGCTAATAAACTCGACTCTACACAGCCAGACGAGTATTCATGACGCCACTCACGTCTTTGGTTCCCAGATCTTTTTTTATAAGCCATCTTGGGACTGCGGGTGATGATTTGAAATAGTTAAGACTTTGGCAACCCCAGAAATTCTTGCTAGTAGATTTACTGATGGCTCTATGTAGCAATAAATATAAATCAGTATTCATGACAGTGTAAGCTTCCAAAGTGTCTGTCACTTTGGTTGACCTGGTAGCTAAGATGCTCATTCATCATTTGGTCTTCAGAGGGAAGAGAGACGCTTCCTCCTTCCTGGCACTAATAAAGCTGTGTGTTTATATGAAAAAATTGTCTGTGAGAAATCAGCTTTATCAAGAAGTACAAAAGTAATGTATTAGGCCTTGTGCTCCAATGCCTGTGGTTCACGAACTGTAAAAAACAAACAGAATTACTTTGCATTTATACCCTTGATATACTATGATATAACAACTCTTCTTTAATCCAAAGTTATAAATAAAGTTGTCATGTAAGACCAGTTTTTAAAAATCTGTGAAAAGTATTTAAAAACCATGGCTCATTCCAAAATCAACTGGGTTTGGCAAACATCTCACTAATTACAAACCTATTTTGTAATTTGGAGTTAAGCCAGGCCATTAAGATAGTCTACACAAAACAATCCAGGCTAATAAAGAAGAAAGCAGAAAAAATTAGGATGAACCCAAAATGAGGAGACCAGATGCCTAACACCTGGTAGTTAATGAAAATGGAATCAAATGGTAAAAATAGCTGGAGGAATGGTTGGGGTGCATAGTAATAAACTTCATGAAGATTATTTACAGAAAAAGAAAGAACCCTGCAAGAAGGAAAGAACCCAAACTTCCAAAAACTAATAAATTCTGAACCAGACAACTCAAAACTAAGTCACGAAGGGTCTCAGCTAAAACACTGAGTTTGAATTAGATGGGAGAAAGAGCAGAAAATTCACATCCCATAAGTATGCAGAGAGAAACTGGCCATTAAAAAGTTCAGTTGTCTTCTTGCTGTTTCTTAACAACTGCCCAAAAAGAGACTCTAGGACCAGACATAAGTTGACCTGCCCTGAACGATGTTGCCGTGACCTTAAGGCAGTTAGTTCATCTCAGTGTGGTTTGATTTTTCCCTGAAGGACTTGGATCAGGTCAGGTCTAAAATCTGCACAAGCTCCAGACGTAGTTCTATGAAACATGTTTGAAGTCTCACCCCAAGTAAGCCGAGGACACGGCACCTTACTATGAGTGGTAAGAACAAAAACTAAGAGAGGCTTTGTCTCTCTTCAAGGGATTAGCCTGTGGCGCCTAAACACAAACTCCTCATTTCCTCATTAGGACATTATTCCTTGGACCTAGAGGACAATGTGACAGCCTGCATGACATTGAGCAAACTTGCTCATAGTTTTTCACTGTGCTTTGTTTTGAGATGGATTCTTACTAGTACAAACGTAACAAAACAATCCCTGCTTTATTGCTAATGGTCACTGATGATGCATTTTCTCTCCGTCAGGACCAGTCCCGTGGTGGTTGAAGTCAGTCTTTGGAGTCTGATCCTCTACATCCGTGACATTAACAATGTTCTTTCCTCGGTGTCTTTGTTCAAGCGTCACCCACACATATAACCAGGAACATCCACGAGAGATGTCCTCACGTACACAGTAAGAAGATTCCCTGGGAGGAAGAGGCAAGCTTTTCCAGCGCAGGTACCTTTAACTGTTGGCCCACAGAATAAGAGTTTAAAATGCGCTAGGTAAGTGATATAAAGCAAAGACGTAAAAAACCCTTTCGTGTCACTTGCCTGCCTGGCCCCGCTGAGTCATCCAATAAAGTCCTATCCCCTAAGAGTCATCGGATGTTCGTGTGGACAGTCTTCCAGATCAAAGCAAACCATTTACTAAGACCAAATGTTTTAAGTCTAAATTCTAGGACTCATAATGGAAGACACGGGTAGCCCTATCCTTCAGTCCTTCAGTCATTCATCCTTAAACACCGTAATATGATGGATGCTACGTGGTTTTCATTTGCTTTTGATCACTACTAGTGAGGGCAATTTTAAAGCTTAAAGGATAAGAGAAGAGGCACTGGAGGGTGAGGGGCGTTTCTATTTTTGAGTGCCGCTGGTTTACAGGTGCAGCTCTGGGAATGTTGTGTAGAGCGTCTCATTGGAGCTACAAGCTGTCAGGTTTCCATTTGCAGACACAGGGAAACAAGCCTTGCAGATGTCGGGTTGCTCAAACATAGTTACCCAGCTTGGAAAAAAAATAGTGGGAGAAGGATTAAACTCCAGTTTCTATTTATCTCTCATCAAAAATAATGTGCATGGGGCTGGAGAGACGAGTCAGTGGTAAGCAGGTAAGCTGTACCAACATCAGGACCTGGGTTCACATTCTCAGGATGCATGCCAAAGCTGGGAATGACGACCTGTGCCTATAGTCCCAGTGTCAGACACAGACTAATGTGCTGTGTGCTCACTGGCCCCCTAGCCCAGCCCCAAATAACAGACTCCAAGTTCATCTCAGGGGGGTAAGGCAGAGAGTGACAGAGCAGGAAACTTGAGATGGTCCTCCAACTTTCATTACCTGCGTGTACACACACACACACACACACACACACACACACACACACCTTTTCAAAACATATTTTTTGTTGGGTAAAATACTACATATATTCAAAAGAGCTCCACTGTCTAATTTCCATAGCTGGTGAACTGTTCAGTTTCTTTCCACTAGACCCTGCACTCTGCCCCCTCAGGACCCAGCTCGAAAGCCCCCAAACTCTGCACCCCACATCCCAACATCTCTTCTCAGTGGTAGATAACGGCACGGTTATCAATGCATGGTGTCTCCCACAAGAGCTGTTGAAGTCCTAACCCTGGGTGCCTGCTAATGCAATCTCATTTGAAAAGGAAGTCGTTACACACACGGACGCCAAGGTGAGGTCACTAGAGCAGCCCTTAATTTTATTCCGTCGGTGTCCTTATAAGCGGGACGTGGAGACACCTGTGTCTGGTGTAGCTCAGCCTGGCCTGAAACTCCTGACCCAACTCCAGAGTGCTGGGGTTAGCTCGCACACCCAGCCTCTTTGATGCTGCTACCGCTCCTGCTAATGGTGATGATGATGATGGTATTGTTTCAGAAGTGGGGCCCTATGGTCCCAGATTGACCTCACACTCATTGTGTGTAGCAAAGCTGGCATTGTACTCCTGACACCCCCTGTCTACACAATCCTCATGCTGGGATTAACAGCGTGTGTGCGCCGCCGTCTTTGTCAGCAAGTTTCACTTTTTAGTAGGCATTATGTGCTTTGTGTTTCATAAACGCTACAAGGAGGTGAAACATGGGGGGAAGGGTGATGAGTCTGTAAGCAGAGGGGTTGCCGGATCGAGAGCAAGCCACTGAAGCAGGGAGGCCTGTGGAAGGCGCGGAAGAATATGCTAGCTCACAGCTCTTGGAGCTTGCTAACACCTTGAAATTGGACGTCAAGGGTCCAGCACTGTGAGCCCAAAACTTTCCTGCGGCTCAGCCCACTTAATGTCTGTGATGCCTTATTCCACCAGTCCTGGGAAACCGTAAGTGCTGCTACTCAGAAAACCCCCGCTAACACACAAGGAAAGAAAGGAACCATACAAATTATACCACACAGAAGTCATTGGAAAAAACTAAGCAAGGACTCAAAACATAAAAGTCACCCAGCGTTTGAGCAGTATGCATTTATTCCTCCATATTCAAAACACGAAGGCCGCCAGATACAACCAAGTGTTTTTGTTTGTTTGTTTGTTTTTTATATTAGCTTCTCATGATACAAAAGGTCTGGTATGAGACATGGCGTTAATGACATCGCCACCTGCATTCTCCAAGATCCATGCATGGGATAGTAAAAATTATATATTTCTTTTTGTTCACGGGAAGAACTGATATTGCTCAGAAATGGGAAGCTCCTTAACTGATGAGATTCAGCCATAAATCCACTCAGTATAGACAAGCTGTGACAGGAATGACACAGGCAATAATGGACAGGTACATACAAGGGCAAGCCTCACAGATAACCACGCACTATAGAAGCAGCTTCCAGCGAGCCCAGCCAGACCATGCATTCGCACGCATAACCAGATTGCTTAAACGGCATACAACAGAACGTAAATAGCACTTCATTGCATTTTAGGGGCTGGATGCAAGGCTTCCTGTGTGGGAGATCTAGCTATGGAAACAAGAAAACTGGAGAACCAACCCCTAGCATCCGCGGAAGAGCCCAGCGTGGTTGTGCATGCCTGTAACCACAGCACTGGGGGACAGACAGGAGGACCCCGGGGAACTCCCTGGCTGGACGGCCACACTTAAAGAAAGAATGCAGACTAAGTGAGAGACAGTGTCACAAAAAGACTAGGTGGACAGCAGCAGAGGAAGACACCTATGTCCTCCTCTGGCCTCCACGAATACTTACTTACACAGTGCGTGAACCCAAATACTTATGTGTGCACACATGAGCTATACGTACATGTATGTACAATAAGACATACACACGCTTTATAAAATCCAGAAAAGATTGAACTTTAGCCAACCCAATTTAGTTTTCTGGTAAGCATTCAAATTCATTGACAGATTAGTTAAAAATCTACTAGAATTGAGATAGCCACATCTCCACTGTATATTCCAAGTAAAGAAACCATGACAACGGGCTACAATTTTTTTCTTTTTTTGTTTTACATGCCAATCCCAGTTCCCTCTCCCTCCTCTCCTCCATTGTCCCCCAGTAGCCCCTTATCCCATCCCCTATCTGCTCCCCAGGGAGGGTGAGGCATTCCATAGGGGATCTTCATAATCTGTTATATCATTTGGAGCAGAGCCTAGGTCCTCCCCCATGTGTCTAGGCTAAGAGAGTATCCCTCTATATGGAATAGGCTCCCAAAGTCCATTCGTATGTTAGGGATAAATACTGATCCACTACCAGAGGCCCCATAGATTGCCCAGACCTCCTTAGTGACATCCACATACAGGGGGACTGGGTCAGTCCTATGTTGGTTTCCCAGTCATCAGTCTATAGTCCATGAGCTCCCCGTTGTTCAGGTCAGCTCTTTCTGTGAGTTTCTCCAGCCTGGTCTTGACTCCTTTGCTCATCACTCCTCCCTCTTTGCAACTGGATTCCAGGAGTTTGGTTCAGTGTTTAGCTGTGGGTGTCTCCTTCTGCATCCATCAGCTACTGGATGAAGGCTTTAGGATAGCATATGAGGTAGTCATCACTCTCATTATTGGGAAAGAGCATTTAAGGCAGCTTCTCCACTATTGCTTAGATTTTCAGTTGGGGTCATCCTTATAGATCTCTGAACATTTCCCTAGTACCAAATTTCTCTTTAAACCTACAATGGCTCCCTCTATTACGGTATCTCTTTTCTTGCTCTCCTCTATTCTTCCCCCGACTCAACCTTCCTGCTCCCTCATGTCCTCCTCTCCTCCTTCTCCTAGCTCTCTCTCCCCTCCTCCCATGCTCCCAATTAGCTCTGAGACCTTGTCCCTTTCCCCTTCTCCGGGGGACCATGTATGTCTCTCTTAGGGTCCTCCTTGTTTCCTAGCTTCTCTGGCAGTGTAGATTGTAGGCTGGTAATCCTTTGCTCTATGTCTCAAGTCCGTATATGAGTGAGTACGTACCATGTTTATCTTTCTGTGACTGGGTTACTTCTCTCAGGATGGCTTCTTCTAGTGCCGTCCACTTGAAGAGGCTACAAATGTAAGGGATCCGCCCTATCCTGTATTTTTGTGTCTGTCTCTCATTAGCTACCTACCAAAACATTTCTTCTAGCACCAGCTCACTGGAATGTATTATTCAAGAAACTATTTAAAAATTTACCAAGCAGTTATTAATTTTTTATTTGTTCAACAAATATTTCCTTTGCTTCCACTGTTGACCAGACCCTGTCCTAGTGCATGGCGGTAAAGAGAACAGGTGTAATTTCTGTCCTCACAAAAATAACCTTGAGATCGCATGCACACTTGTTCTGTTGCAGAGGAACTGCTGAGGAGCAAAATGCTCCCACATGCTGTTTATGGCTGTGGCAATGGCCACACCCACACAAGAGCTCTTGAGTCGCAGCACAAGATTCAACACAGGCTTCAGGGTCAACTGTGACCTGACAGTCAGATGTGAGTGAAGTTGAGGAAACGGTTGTTTGTCACAGATGCCCATCGCATTCTTTCCCAGATCCCCTTCTCCTGAGGATTTGCAGTCTCTTTGTTACTGTGGGCCCAGCCGCTGTGCCTCCAGTGAACCTGCCCACAAACAGTCACATAGTGAGTAATATTTAAAATATAGCATGGATTATCACCACTATAATTGCAGTAAAACCCAGATAGCTACTAAGTTTACTAGGAGGGGGTGAGAAGAGAATGCGGGTACGTATGTGTGTATCGGTGTCTGTGTGTATGTTTGTACATATATGTAGAGGTACGGGTGTGTGCACGTATATGGTGGGTCACGTACATGTAGAGGGGTCAGTATGCACATGTGTATTGATACATGCGTGTGCTGATGCACTTGTATGGAAGTGTGGATAAAATGCAGATGTCAACTTCAGGTATTAGCCATCAGGTGGCATCTGACTATTGTTTCGGAGACAGTGGCTGCCCCTAGAATCTGGGGCTCACCAACCAAGATACACTTGCTGGGCTTACAAGCCCCAAGAATCCCTGGTGCAGGGAAGGAGGGAACAGTGAGAGCGGTCTCTCTCTCTCTCTCTCTCTCTCTCTCTCTCTCTCTCTCCCATTTTCCTCCCACCACATCCAAACCAAATATGCATCTCAGAAATAAGTAAAACAGCACCTTCTTGAATCTCTTACCCAGGAGACAGGCTTCACTGAAACTTCCGGCAGTCGGCACTGATGAATATTGCGTAATAATAGCAGGTACAGTGTCCTAAAGGCTCAAACCCCTGAAATTGTCAGCATGCCTCTTCCGGCTTAGTTCTGCCATGCTGATCTACTCTGTCTCCCCAAACCCCCTTCTATTCACTACTCTCGTGAGTCATGGACTCCCTTCCGTTCACTCTTCATGCAAGGAAACTGACCCATTTTCCTTATTCCCAGAACTTCTGCCAACCCGTTTCTTGTTCGGGAGACTATCAAGACATTTTCTGAAACAAAAGCAATCTCTTCCCAAGGAAGAGATTCCAAAGAAGATTTTGGTTCCTCATTTGTGAGGTTTCCCTCCACGCACACATCCACGAGACTATTAGTTAAGTTCCTTGGAAAAACATAAAGAGGATACAATGATGTTGGAGAGAAGACTTAAGTGAGGAGGCTGCATTGGGTAGGATTTTAAAAGACTGGTAAGTGCCCTCGGGCTCATTCCAGTGATGGCATGAGTGTACCGTGAGCGGGGGAGATGACATAAGAAAGGATGCTGTAATATAAGAATACAGAACAAGATGGTCCAGGGATGCCCTGAGTAGAGTCCCAGGTCAAGTTAACAAAGAATCCTGGTTGTGAGAGAAAGGAGTATGACTTCGAGATGGATGCCCAAGAGTTTTGGTCTTTGTCATATAAACGATCTGTGTTTTCAAATGTTAGTTCTAAAACAAGCGCTGTGCTACGGCACACACATGTCTTCAATGGAAGGGCATAAACAACATTCCCATGTTTACAACTGAATTCAGACTTCAGTTCTCAGACAGGGGTAAGCAGGCATCTCTCTCCCAACAAAGGACGATTTACCAGGCAATTACATTCAGGGGCAGGGAAGAGAACAGAAGTAAGCCCCGAGTGAGCCCCACAAAGTCTCAAGTTCCTGCCTAACCCTTGAAACTTACCCAAGTATGTCCAAAGATAAAAACCTCAGCCAGTTAAAGGTGTAAGAACTGCTGCTTGCTTAATCCATTGTGTTTGAGATGACCAAACCACTCCTGAAATTCCTCTAGCTGTGCTTAAAAAGAGGCTGCACACTCCTCTCGGGGTTGTTGCTATTTTGTTGGGGGGTAATGACCCCGCATATGCTGGAATAATAATAATAATAATAAATATTCTTTGTTCTTACATGCTATTTGAGTAGTCTGGGGTTTTCCTTCAATGTTTCTTCAGGCCCTACACAATCCCAGCAGTCAGGGAGCAATGAATTCGAGGGCAGCCTAGGATATGTAACAAGGTCTTGTGGGAGGAAAAAATAATCAACTATAGTAGTTTGAACTGACTCAGCATACAATAATAGGGGCTTAGTATGGTAAGCATGCTGGTAAGAATTAAGTGTTAACAGTAAGAGACTGGAGGAACCTAGAGCAGAGCTCCTTGCCATGAATACGGAGGGGAAGACACCACGTACAGCTTAGCAGGCATGGGAACACTGGCCCCTTCAGTCTGTGGGAACAGAGAGAGGCCAGGGCTACTTGTCTCTATCAACAGCAGCCTTTGACATTGACATCCGCGTGCAATATCAAGTGTTGTGTGCCGTGGACACTACGCTGGGAAGCTCTGTCAGAGGAGAAGGGCATTGTACAAGTCCAGATGAGCCTTATGAACACAGCTGTGGCATCGGCAAAGAGCTCATGAACTTGGGAGCTATTTACAAGGTAGAAGGAACAGATGTTAGCAATTGACTTCCTCAGAGGAGTGAGGATGAAAAGGAGGGGGGGGGAAGAAGTATTCATCCCAAGAGGATGTTAGAAAGGGAAACTTACACCACGAACGTATATCAACGGAGGAGAGCCGAGAATGGAAAGACGAAAGATGTGATAGGCAACACTGAGTTCCAAGCGGCAGTTTATTCGCTGCTCTGTCTCTGTAGCGCACAACTCTCCCTTGTAAAAACACGCACTTGACGTGCTCAGCACTCTAGAAAGGAAAGACGGCGAGATAACGTAAGACTTACAGTTCTGCCGCCATATACAACATAAGTTGTATAACCTAAAGAGGTCTCTCATGGTGGAGGACTGGAATCCAGCAGTTTCTGACATCCTACTTAAGGGCTGATGGGCTCAACAAAGCAAGGGTCTCCAAACAAGTCTTGCTACTCTAGCTATTTAGGAAGCAAGCATTTTCCCAGGAGAACAGTGTCTGTCTCCAGTTAATTGATGTGTAGGAGTTCTCTGGAACAAAGGAAAAAGTTACTGCTGGGTTTTCAATACTTCTCCCCAAAGCAAAGCTTTCCTGGAGAGAACTAGAAAAATACCAGCTTGGCTTATCTACATTCCTGTTGTCATAGATGATCTCACCTGCCACTCTCAGCTAAAAACAAAACCTAGCTATTATATGTCAAGTTGTATATATATATATATATATGTATATATATATATTTACGTATGCAATATAAACTACATATGCATATATAAATATATAATTCCTAGCCTCTGTGATTGATTTGAATGAGAATGGCACATATCAGCCCATGTATTTGAGTGCTTAGTCACTAGGGAGTGAAATTTTTGGGAAAGATTTGAAGTTGTGGCCTTGCTGAAGGAAGCATGTCACTGAGGATAGGGTTTGATGTTCAAAAAGCACCTACCAGACACAATGTCTCTCTGTCTCTCTCTGTCTCTTTGCCTCTCTCTACGTCTTTCTGTGTCTCTGTCTCTGTGTCTTTCTGTCTCTCTCTCTCTCTCCCTGCTGCTGCCTGTGAATCAGGATGTAAAACTCTCAGCTACTGCTCCAGTGCCATGCCCGTCTTCCTCCTGTCATAATGGTAATGCATTAACCTTCTAAAACTGTAAGCAAGCCCCCAATCTAAGCCTTTTTAAAAACACGAGTTGCCTCAGGCACGGTGTCAGCCAGAAGGCAGTGAAGCAATGCATTTTAGTTCACAGCAATAGAACAGTCAATAAGACACCACCTATTAAAGGAAGGAGGAAACTTCGCATATCTATCAGATTGATGTACTTGTTTATTAACACATAAAGAACAGAGTGTTAGCTTAATATTAGTTCTAGGACATCGAGCAAGCATCATCATTTTCTAGAATTTATCAGTATTGCAATTTTATTATAATCAGTTCTGAGACTTCTGCTTTGCATAAGCACAAAATGGCAGAAGTGTGTTTACAGTCATTAAAACACATATTGGGAATTCTCTCCTAATCCCAAGTCAAAATTCACTTAACAATATTTTATGAAACTCAAGTCAGCAACTGAAACAACAACTTGAAAACAATACAATCTAAAGATACAGTAATTTGACACTTGCATATTCAGGAATGATAGCATGAAAATATTAAGTCATTTTTTCCATAATAAAAACCTTATGCTTGCCCAAGAACAGAAAACGTTGTCCATACAGCTCAGTAAAACACTGCAAATCGTAACACGTAATTGTCTTGCAATTTGCTATTGTTTCAGCAGTGCTAGTTGATATGGCCTGGCTTAATGGTGTGCACAGTGGAAAGTGGGAAGGTCGTGCTTAGTGCCAAGCCTGCAGGGAAGTCACGTGGTATAGCAAGGGTACCAGGGCTGGAGGGATAGCTCAGTCGCTAAAGGCTAGGCTCACAAACAAACACAAGGCTATGAACTGCGCGAAACACCCTGATTCATCATGCAGCATATGATTTTTGATCACTGGGCATTCCTAAACCTTTGCTGAGGCTAACGTTTTTTACAACCCCCACATTCTTTCTATGACCCCCACATAGAGTCTGACCCACACTTTCAGGAAGACGGGGTCTAAAGCTCCGCTCTGGTCTTAACACTAGCTGTTACAGTCGTTTTACTAATTCCAAGCAAATTCTTGTGAGCTGCACCCCATTCTCAGACTTTACCAGAGTCTCTCCTACCATGGAGGCTCCTTGTTTGTCTCCCCAGCATTTACCCCGAGCACCTCTAAAATCACCCAAGGCCATCAAAACCTCCTGAGGCTCCCACATCACCCCAGACTCACTTAACTCAGAAATCTCTGAGTGTTCTTCTCTTGATGGGCAGCTGAGGGTATGAGCCATGCTCTGCCCATGCTCTTTTGGTTTTCTCCAGTGTTTATGACTACTCTCTCCAGAAGCTTCGAAGACACATGCGTAAGGAATGAGAGTCTCAGACTGCATCTCTGAGTGCAACACTGTGCCTGCTGTTCGTCTCAGAACTTTCCAAGTACAGAATTCAAACTGAGAAATCTTTTCTTTTCTTCTCCTCCTCCAAGTTTTTGAAGGCATTGCTCCACTATCTTTTAGGCGAATACCTCAGGAATGGGACTATTTTTCAAACAAGGGTCTTCACAAAGGTAACAAATAAAATATGGTCATTAAGGATGCACATTGGCTCACTGTGTCTCGTGTTTTGATAAAAAAAATAGCTGATTTGGGAACAGAAACACACAGAGGAGGACAGTGTGTGCCCAAGATGGCCACCCACAGGTCCCAGAATATGCCAGTTGCATTGATGCCTAAAGCACAGACTTCCAGGCTCCAGGCTTGTGAAAAATTTGTGTTTCTTGGGCCACCCAGACTGTGATATTTGATTCTGGCTCCCTGGTGAAAAACACAGTCTACTTTACAGGAGATTTTCTCAACTTTATACTCCAACAACTTATATATATATATATATATATATATATATATATATATATATATATGTGTGTGTGTGTGTGTGTGTGTGTGTGTGTGTGTGTGTATTTATATATTTGCTGTCACATTTTATATTTTTAAGACTCCTCTTTTGTTCCCTGAATTCTCCGTTCATAATAACATCTTGTACATGCTTCAAGGACACAGCAGTGTCCTTTCCTCTCCCCCTTAGGACATTAATGGTAGTTTTCATCTCCATGTTTTCACATTTGTGCAGTTTCTTTATTTACGAACATCTTTATCTTTCAGACTGGGGGGTTTTCTTGGGTATCTGTTTGTTGGAATTTAGGACTAAGGCAAGAAAAAAAGGGAGATTTGATGTTAGTGAATGCTCAATGGGTTTGTTGACTGATCTCATGCCCTTTGATCTTTAACTCAAGGGTTCAAAACCAGCCAGCCAGCTTACAGGCAGAGTCTGCAATGAATGTGTCTGTGTTTTGTTTTGTTTTTCATTTGGATCTGTGATGCCTTTAAATTGGTATGTTGTTTTAATTACCCACAAACCTCACTGCTCCTTTTTGATTTAAGCAAGACTTTTAAGTCTGAAATTCCTACCTACCTCTTTGTTTAAACGAGTGAAACCTTTTTTCCTTGAGCGGGAGTCTGAAGTCACTGCCTCTGGGATGTAGTCTGAAGCACTCACAGCTTGAGTCCAACCCTGCCTCCTTGGATATCAAGTTTCACAATCCATTCAGTGCCTCTGCCAGTCTTCCCCTTGGTGCTGGTAGAATCCCCCATGAAGATGCAATCCATCCCCCAACAGCCCAGGAGGCAGGAACTGAAGCAGATTCTTATCTCCTGTGGTAGCTTAGTAAAGCTCAAAAAATATGCATATTGAAAATCTCAACATTTAAAGGGACAGGAGTTCAAACAAGGAGTAATGTCATAATTTGATCATCTTCTTGGATATAAAATTTTGAGTATTTGGTTGCTAAAAATTGTTAACTATATTTTTTCTTCTCCAGGCGAGTACCATGTCATGCAATGTGGCTTTAATAGATGTCAGATGACTACGGATACTATCATCTGTTTCTCATGATGGAACATTTCTCAAGCAGGGACAAAAATAAAAAAGGAAAATAGAAACCATGACATACCCAAGTGAAAGAGGAAGTGTTTGCCTATTTACATTCATTTGGATCACATGCTCTTTTAGAACTCAAGCCTGATAAAACATTCATATTGGCATTTCTGCTAAGGTGTCCACAAGTGATAAATCATTTATGGCAAAATCACTGTCAGAGCAATTTTCGAAAGTCTGAGTCCTTGGGATTTCTGATACATGTGGTTCACTAAGGCTGCTGGTTCAGGGTACCCCCTCATGTTCTGGGACACCCAGATTCCTGTTGGTCCTGGAGCACAGTCCAAGGCACTCGGTACCCCTGTAGCACCCCATCCACGAGGGAACTACTTTCTTTCTCTTTATTCAGCCACTCATGCTGGTCCAATTAAACACGATTAGCTAATTCTTTGTTCCTATTAATCTTTCCCTCCCAGGATGATTTGAGCATTGTGGGTTTTAATTATTGAGAGAGCCCTGGGAGTTGCCAAATATAGACTCATTCATATGAATGGTAAACAAACTGTGTTTGGATTCTCACAAATTTACAAGGCTGGAAAGACCTTGGAAAACCAGATGGATTTTTTAAGAGCTCTGTCTCCAACTTCTCCAAACTGATACGAAGATTGAAGGGCAGATAGTAGTATAGACAGCCATCTAGCCACTGTTCCATACAAACTGGGGCCCTCAGGGATTTTTAGCTTTGCTATAAATGCCCCATCTGTGAAATGGGCCAAATAATTGCCTCTGCTTCAGAAGGCTTTTGCAAAGGCCCATTGAAATAATCCATTTGGCACACCTTAACAAGAGCAGCACTGTTAAAAGCCAGGTACCATATGAACTCATAAAAGAACAATTGCCCATTATTTAAGAAGCTGGTTCCGTCTTCACAGCAGCCAAGTATGCTGCTGAAATAAACCGGCCGGATCCAGCCAGAAGTACTAGAAATTTGTATCTGAAAAAGAAAAAACAAACGATTTTAATAAGACACTTGGAAACAAGAACTAGAAAGGAACTTGAAGCTTATGGACTCTGATATATAAATTTAGAGACAGCTTTAACAGGAAAGTCATGGAATCTTGGGTTCAAACCCGTTTTTCTAGTCTTCACGGGCCAGAAAAATGACCCACTAGGCAGACACATTTCCTGCCCCACCTAACAAGCTGAGTCTGCTCTTTGGAACCCTCGTACTTGGAAGGAGGGGATCATCTGACCTCCACATGTGTGATGTGGTACACATGCACCCATCCACATTCAGACATTTACAATATAATTACATAAAGTGGGATTTCAATACAGAACCTTTGGGTGGGAAGAGAAACTTTAACTTGGTGGGTCCTGAATTAAGTCCTTGGTCCTTGCCGACCACGCAATTCAAGGCTGGGTGCAGAAGCCAGCATTCTCCCAGGAAGGACAAAGTCCCCAGGTGAAAATAACCACCCAGACCATCAGCCCACAAAATGATTAGCTCAACCACCTTTATTTTTCCTTTCTGGGTCAAAACAAACAAGCTGTGTTTTTTCAATCAGGACTGCTTGTAAAATGCACTTTGTTTTACTGTCCACAAGGTCACTTTCTTTGGCCCAAGTCAGCAGGGTGTTGATATAGTCAACATATCAAAGTTATTGCTGTTTTTCCAAAGTCACTGGATAATCTGGTTGATTTAAAATTAATCCAGCGTCAAAGGTATTTGCCAGCAAGTCTGTCAACCCAGGTTCCCCTACATGGTACAAGGAGAGAGCTGACCCCTGAAAATTGTCCTCTGACCTCACCCCTCAACAAACATACTCATACATACACACAATACACCACACACACACACACACACACACACACACACACACACACACAAACACACAATATACCACATACATGCAAACACACATTACACAGATAAATTATTTTATCTTATATTTATTTTGAGAAAATGGGCCAGGCAAGAAACTTTGTAGTTAAGAGAGTTAAAAACATTGGTTGCAGGTCTGAAGAGATGGTTCAGCCGTTAAAGAGCATTGACTGTTCTTCCAGGGGTCCTGAGTTCTATTACCAGCAACCACATTGTGGCTCACAGCCATCTATAGTGGGATTGGATGCCCCCTTCTAATATAAAGTACATGCAGATAGAGTAACTCCAATTCCAGAAGACATCTGTGGGCATGCACACATGGTGTCCAGATATATTCAGGCAAAAACAATCATTCACATAAAATAGAAACAAATAACCGTTTAAAAATAATCTAGGTCTTTCTGTAATCTCTCTCCACAGAGCACTGTATGGTTAGTAATTAATATACCAAGAGAACATGTAGCTACAAAAGTAAATTAAAACCACAGGGCTCATCACATATATTTATTATCTTATCAAATTAATACTAGTAGCATATAAAAACTATACAGAATGGGAAAAGATCTTCACCAACCCCACATAAGACAGAGGGCTGATCTCTAAAATATACAAAGAACTCAAGAAGGTTGCCACCAAAACACCAAATAACTCAATTAAAAAGTAGAATATAGAACTAAATAGAGAATTCTCAATAGAGGAATCTAAAATGGCTGAAAGACACTTATGAAATTGCTCAACACCCTTAGCCATCAGGGAAACTCAAATCAAAACAACTCTGAGATACCATCTTACACCCATCAGAATGACTAAAATAAAAAACACCAAGGACAGTTTATGCTGGAGAGGATGTGGAGAAAGGGAAATGCTTCTCCATTGCTGGTGGGAGTGCAAACTTTTACAGTCACTTTGGAAAACAGTATGGCAGTTTCTCTGGAAAATGGGAACCAGTCTACCTTAAGATCCAGCAATTCCACTCTTAGGTATATATCCAGAGGATGCACATTCATACAACAAGGATATCTGTTCAACTATGTTTATTGCAACATTATTTGTAACAGCCAGAACCTAGAAGTAATCTAGAGGCCCCTCAATCGAAGAATGGATACAGAAATGTGGTACAATTACACAATGGAGTACTACTCAGCGGGGGAAAAACAATGGATATTGAAATTTTCAGGCAAATGGATGGAACTAGAAGAAACCATCCTGAGTGAGGTAACCCAGTCACAGAAAGACAAACATGGTATATACTCACTCACATATTAGACATAGAGCAAAGGATTATCATTCTACAATCCACACCACCAGAGAAGCTAGGAAACAAAGAGAACCATAAGTAAGATAGGCATGGTCCCCCAGTGAAGCAGAAAAGACAAGAGCCCCTGAACAAATTGGGAGCATGGGAGAGGGAAGAGGGAGGTAGGAGAAAGGGGGGAGAAGAGGAGAGGAGAGGAGAACGTGAGCGATCAGGAAATTGAGTAGGGAGAGGAATAGAGGAGAGCAAGTAAAGAGACACATCAATAGAGGGAGCCACTATATGTGTAAATAGAAATCCACAAGGATGACCCCACCTAGGAACCTAAGCAATAGCAGAGAGGCTACCTTAAATACCTTTCCCCTATAATGAGAATGATGACTACCTTAAATGCCATCCTAGAGTTTTCATCCAGCAGCTGATGGAAGCAGAAGCAAAAATCCACAGCTAAACACAGAGCCAAACTCCTGGAATCCAGCTTCAGAGAGGGAGGAGTGACCAACAAAGGGGTTAAGACCACTCTGGCAAAACTCTCAGAAACAGCTGACCTAAAAAGTGGGAAGTCATGGACCCAAGTCTGGCAGCTGGGGAGCTAACATAGGACCAAACCAGGCCCCTCAAAAGTGGAGTGGGTGTCAGCTAGGAGCACTGGGCAGTCTACGGGGTCTCTGGCAGTGGAACCAGGATGTATCCCTGGGGCACGAACGGACTTTGGGAACTCATTTCCCATAGAGGGGTGCTCCCTTAGCCTAGATACACAGGGGAGGGCCTAGGCCCTGCCCCAAATGACTTGACAGATTTTGATGATCCCGCATGGAAGGCCTCACCCTCCCTGGGGAGTAGATGGGGGATGGGATGGGGGAGGGAGAGGGAACTTGGATTGATATGTAAGATATGATCGTTTTTAATTTAAATAAAAATTTATTAAAAAAAAAAACAAAAACTATACCATCCTATAATGTAACAAAGAAAGCTATCTTGATTTCCTTAACCCAGGCATTTCCAAACTTCTTTGAGACAGGAATCTGTTTTTTCGAGTACCATTTACCATCTTAAGAAGTTCAATGCATGGAACTGCAGTCTGGGGACACATGGTTTACATTTGGACTGGGTCCATCTGGCACGTTAGAACTGGCAGAGTGAAGACTACCATGGCATGTCAACCAATGAGCGGAGCAGAGTGGAGGATCCAACGATAAGACCGTAGAAAGCTCCCAGATACAGGCGGGAGCAGGGCTTTCTGAACAGAACTCTGGGCACGCAAGAACCAACCCTAAGAATTGACGCAAGGGGTTAGACAAAATTAAAAAGCTTCTGAGCAGCAAAGGAAACAATCGCTAGAATGAAGAAATGGCGCAGAATAGGAAAAGAAAACACTGTGTCTTCATCAGCTGTAACATCAGCCAGAGTACCAATATCTGGAATCAGTGAAGACCTGCAAAGTTTAAGCTGCCCTATAACATCATTCAGGGAGCTAACAAACTGAACACATAGATCTCAAAGGAGGAGGTACAAATGGTCGATAAATACTTAAACAGTTTGCAGCCATCAGGAAGATGCAAATTAAAAGTGTACCTGGTTTCAACTGTCATTCATCTGTCAGAATGGCTGTCAACAAGAAACAAACAACAAATCCTGGTAAAGGTGTGGACAAGAGGTACCCTTGCCAGGATGCAAACCGCTGCAGCCACTGTAGCAGATGATATAGATGTCCTTCAAGGAAGTAAACACAGAACTGCTCTACGACCTAGCTGTCGCGCTCATAGTGTATGCCCAGAGGTCTCTAAATCATTGCATGCTCATGGTGTATGCCCAGAGGTCTCTAAATCACCACACCGCAGAGATGGCTGCACTTCCACGTCATTGCTAAGCTGTTCGGGATATCAAACAGTGGAAACAGCCTATACACCCATCCACAGAAGAGTGGATAAAGAAATGCGATACATATACAAAATGGGATGTTTTCCAGCCACACAGAACAATGAAATCACGACATTTTCAAGAAAAACTGATGGACTGGAGAGCATTATGCTTAAGTAACGTAAACCAGACTCAAGAAGACAAACACATGTTTT